TGAGAAGAAGCTGCTTCCACGATTATTTCTTTGGCATATGTTGAGAGAGGCGAGCGCACACACCAGTGCCCGTTACCTAGTAGTTTCTTGTGTTTTGTCAGCGTTCCAAGCGTGTGTACTTTTTCCCCCAAACAAGATTTTCCTAACAGAGACTTGGGCATTCAAATTTGCCCGGGTGTCATAGCGCAGAATGCTACATACATAGCCATCCATGCCAGAGAGTTTTTCCGTTTTCCCCCTTCCAACTAGAGAGAGCGAGAGCGAGTTTGGGGATCATTCCTTGATCGAAGGTGGCGCCGCTGTTTAGACGTATGGACAGCCATCGACGTGGGATCTGTAGGCGATTTGAAGTATGGCACTGGGTACGGTTGCAAGCATGTCGGGTGTAATGGCGCGAATGAATGGGGTCGCCGCCGTCTACCATTCTCGAGATTCCTCTACATACAGTGTCCCACGTCCCGCAAAAGCAAGCATACAAAGGGGCTCTAGAACACTCGATATAATCCATGTCTACCACCCCCCCTCTCGTTCGCGCCGTGTGCCCCCATCTCCATGTTGATTCGCGGATGTTATATATAAATATATGATGCTGCATAACTTCGGGTCCTTTAATAGCCAAGCCCGTAGCCCTTGACGCGCGAGAAGTAAAAGGGCTTGTCGTTCCTGAGATGGAACTCGGCCCAGTCGTTGGTGAGCACGTTGTAGCTCCAAAATCCCTTCCACACCAGCTTGTTATTCTTGGTCGTGTGCCGCGAGCGGGCCGAGCCCGCGGATCGCAGGGACAGGTGCATCGTGTACATGTACCGTGGACCGGCGCCCTCGGTTTCGATGTGCAGGTCCCCAGGGGACATGGTGGGCGTAGGGCTAGCCGACTGGCTTGCGGCTTGACTGTGACTGAGTTTAGTAGATTCGGCGGTGGCTGGGGAGTCAAGGCTCGGGTGACAGAGGCGCCAGCGGCCTCGGAGTGCGTGTTTCATGACGTCTCGGGCAGACGGGGGAGGTGCGGCTGTGTTGGTGTTGGCGCTGGTTCCGCTGCCGCCCGGTGTAGCAGCGGAGGGGCCGGATTCCTTGAGCAGCGCGGGTGCCGAAGAGGTGAAGTTCAACGGATGTGCTGCTTCTTTTCTCCCCGAACGGACGAAGTTGAGATTCTCTGGCGTGAGGTGGTGAACCACCTCAATGGGCTCATTGGTGGTGAGAAGAGATATGCAGGTTCCGTCGCGGAAGAAACGCAGATACCTGTAGTATGTGACGATGTGGACGGGGTTAATCCAGGTGCTTGCTGAGACAGAGGCACCACCCGGCCGAGTATAGTTCACCGTGGAGATGTACACCCCCGTAAAGCGGATGCGCGGATAGTTGTGGAAGATGTCCTGCCAGATGGTGTCTTTTGGGAATGGAGGTTCCGTCACAAGCGAATGGGACGACGAGTCCTCATCTACAAGGTCTTCATCCAGGGCACGGAAAATGATTTCACGGCCCTGCAAGTCGGTGTTGAAGTCATACCGTTGACTGGTGAGGCCAAATTCAGGACCCAGAGCCACACGTTTCCAAACGGCGTTGTCGGTCATGACGTGGTATGCCAGCTTCTTGCAAACCAAAGACAGTCGAACATAAATAGCCGGATCGCGGATGGCTATGTGTTGGAGCAACTCCAACAGCACTTCTGCGGGGAGTTTCTTGATCCCGCACGGCGGCGGACGGTCGCCTTCAATAATGGGCGGAGCGCCTTGAATTTGAGCGTGAGCAAACGAGTCAATCAGTTGAGAAAATGTCAGGTTCTCCGCGGCAGGTTCTTTGAGGGAGTGGTGGGCGGTTGAAGGGACCGTGACAGGGGCATTGGAAGGATTTGGGTTGGACGGCTTTGACTTTGGCTGAGGAAAGTGCTTGTTCTTGTATGATTGATCAACCTTAGCATCGAGCTTGTATGCTTTGCGGTAGAGAGAGAGGCTGTCGCCCAGATTTCCCTGACTCTCCTTTTCGACAGCACGCTCGAAATGTTCCAACGCGCTTGTGGGTTCGGTCTTGGACGAGGCACTCGCGGTGAAGTCGTCGTCGTCCACATTACGAATCATCAGTCCTTCCAGACGATGTTGGACGGCGGTCGAGCTGGTGCCACCCGCCTGATCTGCATCGCTGTAGTGGTCGGAATCATCTTGTTTGATGTCCGCTGCCGGGTGGCGAGTCGGGGGCTTGTTGACGGGTCTGTCGGGTCGGCCATCGCTGGTCCTCGGCTGTCTGTGCTGAGACAACGGAGTAGATTTCTTTTCTTGCTTCCTGGAGCGGGCGCTGACTTCTTCTTTCCACCGTTGGCGAAATTGTTCCAATTCTGAGGTCGGTTCGGCCATTGTCCCACCTTGACGTATGCTGGTGCTGAGAGGGGCCCGGGGAGATCGAGTACCCGGCAATTCAACGGTCTCACCAAGGAACATGGGTGCCCCCAAGGAATACGCCCTCTTGGACAATAGCCAGACACGAGGCTATGATCGGGAAGAGATGTCGTCGATGTCTGTTCGCGGTATACGAGCCGTCATGCACTCGGGAGGCGACGAGTGAGTCAGGGAGTGACCGATGATGTCGACATCCAACTCGCCAAGTACGTACAGTAACTCGTAGCAAAGATGCTTATCTAATGGCCGTGCTATGGCCGACACTAGCGAGGCTAACTGGTCGGCTCGCTTACCCGTTTGGACTCGTGTGTGAACCGCCCGATAACGGCCGAGCATTTCTCGCATTGTCCACTCGGTTCCTCTGACGAACTTTTTGGCTGCAGCTCAATTTCTCATCTACAAACACGCACTCTGGGTCATAATTGCCTCCCTCCCGCCCTTCGCCTTTATATCCTCCGGTTGAACCAGATGCTCCGACTTTGAGATTGATCCTGTAGGAAAGTTTTCTACTCTGGATCGGTCTTCGCTTTCCTAGGCTTCCCAGGCTTCCTAGGCTTGAATGTCCTACTCATTCACTGCGGAACCTGCGCAGTCGCTTGACGAGCATCCCCTCTCGCAACACGCGCTTGGTCACGATGCCCAACAACAATTACAAACAGAGGGACAACGGCATGACCGAGTACCGCTCTCGCAACAGAATACGGCCAACATGTCTGGCTCCAACACTGTCGAGATAACCACCACTCAACGCATGATCTCCGCCACCTGGGGCAGTATCTTGACCTCACTGCTCGGTACGTCATGCTCTCACTCCGACATATCGCCTTCCCTTACTGACTCCTGCAAAGTGACGCCGCTCGATGTTGTGCGTGTGCGGTTACAATCCCAGCAAGCTCCTCCGCCCTCGAATCTCTCCCGGTTCCCCGCATATTCTACCAACTTCAAACACCTTCCGCCCGATCTAGGTGTCAACTCATGTTGTCGAGAAGTGTTTTTTGTTGGAAACAATGGTCAGTTTTGCCTCGCCGGAAATGGCTCCGCACAGGGATCATCAGCACTCACAGCTGAATGTGCCGTGGAAGAAACCCAGCGGAGAACTTTCACCTCCACCCTCGACGGCCTGAAGAAGATTGCCAGGAACGAAGGCTATTCGACGTTATGGCGAGGCCTTTCTCCCACGTTGTTGATGGCGATTCCCGCAAACGTCATATATTTTACAGGCTACGACTGGCTCCGATATCATCATAGCAGTCCGATCAGAAAGATCTCGTCCGACACCTACGCCCCTCTGGTTGCGGGTTCCTTCGCCCGGATAGCAGCTGCGATTGCAGTTTCGCCTATCGAGATGTTCCGAACTCGAATGCAAGCGGTCTCTGGCATGGGCACCGGTGTATTCAAGGAAACTTTACTTGGCCTGCATCGCATGACCCAGACTCAGGGATACACATCCCTTTGGCGTGGGTTGACTCTGACCATGTGGCGAGATGTGCCCTTTTCCGGCATCTACTGGTGGGGATATGAAGCGATCCGAAACAAATTGACTGATGCTCGGCAATTGGCTAAAGGGCAACATGTCGAGTCTGGCAGCTCCTTGACGAGCGGACGCACGGCTCAAGCCCACGAAGACCACACAACCACCTTCATCGACAGTTTCATAGCTGGCGCAGGTTCCGGCGCTGTTGCTGCTTTTGTCACCACCCCCTTCGATGTCGGCAAGACCCGTCAGCAAGTTTATCACCATGCTGGTGACGACGCCCCATCCGTGATAGCAGCACGGGAGGCCGCGAAAGTCGGCAAGCACATTCCGGAGGAGCTGTCGATACCGCGCTTCCTCCACCATATTTTCACCGAGGAAGGTATCAACGGGCTGTTCAAGGGATGGGCGGCGCGATGTTTGAAAGTCGCCCCCGCGTGTGCGATTATGATTAGCAGTTACGAAATGGGCAAGAAGTGGGCGAAGACGGTAAATGAAAAGAAAGAGGAGAGGAAGGCTATAGCTTGATTTTTTCGAGGTCCAGCAAAATCCCCATCTCAGTAAGAAGAAAACCGGCCAAATTGTTTGTTGGTTTCCTGACGGCCACGAGTTACTCCATGTACCAATACCCACCGAGCCGGTTTTCCAGCTTCTAATGTACAGCAATGGGCGCACGGCGTTGGTGGAATTCGTCTTGTTACCTAGAATATTACGAGCTTCTCCACTAAGGAAAGCAATAGAGGCATGACATGCTGAGGACGTATAGTCTCATATCCTACGATTGTCTGTACTTCCCCATGACTGTTCCGCCCGCGGCAGCAGCAGCATTGTCCCGCCTTATTGGAGCTAATATCCGTGAATTGAGCGCTTCAGCCTCAACAAAGTCAAAGCCAAGGGGCACGAAAGGATAGATTCGCTGCGTACAACTCAATATCCCCAAGTCCATATTGTGATACGTATGACCCTTTTGTCAAGTATAATTGGGATTAGACGAGCTCGCAAGATACAGCATTACTCCATATTAACCACTCCTGCCTATGCTATACTATGCTACCCTATGCTCTCCTAGTACACAGTATGTTAGACAATAAGGTATCCGCTCGGCTCCATCAAGTGGCATACACGACCCGCTCAACCTGCTAGAGCTGGCCCATGAATGCAGCCTGGGTGGCCGTCGAAGCAACCATGCCCACACCTTTTTTGGCCAAATCCTGCGCCACATACTTCCTCACGAGGCGGTCGCGTTCTTCCTTCTTGATCTTTGCGTAATCCCTGTCGTTCAGCGGGCAGTGGGGGTCGAAGTCCGGCCCCACGCAGGTATGTGGCATGTCTTTGTCGCGACACCGGTGCCTCCGCTGGTTTAGCCGGCACTTTGGATCCACGCATGTGCAGGGATACCGTGGATCCTCGCACACGTGCGACGCAGACGCGATCGGGCATCTCTTGGTGTAGCAGGGGTGCTCTTGCGGGATGTGGTGATGGTGGTTGTTCCCGTACGTCCTAGGCGGCATGGGTGGGTGAGGGTGAAGGTCATGCTCATCAGGGGGCTGGTCGGGATTCGGAGGATTGGATGGTGGCTGGCTTGGATTTGTTGGTTGATTGGGATTTAGCGGCTGATTTGGATACGATGGCTGATTGGAATTTGGTGGCTGACCGGGGAAAGATGGCTGATTGGGATATTGCGGTTGGTTGGGATAGGGTGGCTGGCAGGGCGGGTTAGCATTGTGGTACAGAGGGGATTTATTGTCCGGGTGGTATGGAGGATCAGAAATTGGCGATTGGATGTCATCATGGTCGTCGGTGGGAGCTTCTGAGCCCGAATCTTCATCCATGTCATGGTCGTGGTTATCCGTAGTCGTCCGGTTATGTGGATGATGCTTCATAGGAGGTGGATGCTTGGGGAAGTGGAACCAAGGTGTGGCAGACGGGTTCGCAGCTGGTGTTTCTCGCACTGTGGGTTCCGGGCAGTGCTTCGGGTCGTGCGACCAGTCTGAAGAATGGTCGTTATGGTAATGCTGATGCTGTTTTCCATGACGATTGCAGCAGTATTTGTAGATCAGATAGGCGATACCCCCTAAGATGAGAAGTCCAACCACACTGCCGACAGTACCCTCAACAATTTGGGGTACGTTGTTGTCGTCTGCCTGGGGACCAACGCCAATCGTGCAGTTCTCTGGTGGCAAGTTAGAGGTGACACCAACGACAAAGATAGATTTCTTCTCAGCATTGTTCGCGGTGACCTTGACGTCGATCATGTCGGTACTGGGGGCAATGACGGAATATCCACTAGAATAGTAAGAATATTCACTTGATTGGCCCTTCGCAAGGGTTTTGCTTCCGGAGACAATTTGAACCGACACGGTGCCGGCATCCACGCTTTGAACATTGAAGGTAAGCTGCTCCTTGGATCGTGCGCTGTAAGTCATGGTTTGTGTCTCTGAGCCTGAGATGAAGTGCGCCGCATCGAGACCTGCCAACAATGTGGTAGTATCTCCGTCAGGGTTGTCATTCTTCGCAAGACCGTTGAGGATGATGCCGTCGATAAAGGTCTTTGAAGCGTTGTAGTTCTGTATCGTGAAATATCTTCCCCCGGAGTCCATAATCGCAGAAAGGACTTCTGGATCCTGAATACTGGAAGGGTCGGCCAAAAATCCAAATGCCACCCGAATACCGAGGCTGGTAGCACGGTTAATTTGATCCACCAGATCTGAAGTACTTGAGTCCTACGGAGAGAGTCAGCATCGTCGTCGCAGGAGTCGTTCAGAAGCCCCGATGTGGCGGATGATCTACAAGAAGCAGTTTGAAAATTAAAGATCGCTAAAGGGGCAAACCAAACAAGGGAAATAAAACACCGACACCAACATACCTGTCCGTCAGTAAAGACTAGGATGCCACTTCGACCGGCGGTGGTGCCAGTACCAGCCGCAGTGAGTTGTGTAATGGCCATTTCCACACCCCCAGCGATGTAGGTGCCGCCATCTTCTCCGATTTGTGTCAGCGCGCTAGCAGCCACACCGGGATCTCCAAGAGGGTAGTCCAGGTAGGCTTCGTCGTCAAAGTTGATGACAGCAACCTTGTCCTGCTTCTGGGTGCTGGTTACCTCGCTCTTGGAAATAAGCCAGTCAAGGACCATTTGTGCGGCGGTGAGGCGATATTGGTAAGGATCTGACTCTTCCATAGAGCCAGAGCTGTCGATTACTAGGGCGATTTTTCGATCGCCATTGTTTGAATTGACACGTAAGTTCGTGCAGACCGAAGTGGAGTCTCGCGGGAGAAGGTAAGCATCGGATATCCTCGTGAAAAGAACGTAGAACGACAAAGATAGAATGATGGGAAACATGGCGAATGCAACGAAGTTGAGGCTTTGAACGAGTTAGCCTTCCCTTACCCAAGTTCACAAGGGTCGCTCGACTCTATATGTTCAAGGAGATTGCCATCGCCTGACCATCAGTCACAAATCAGGCTGGAAAGAGCGACAATTCCGAGTCAATTGGCGGGCACTGTAGATGACCATTTTCGTCGACGCAACCTCCACATAGAAAAGCGACGAGGTACAATAGTCAGGAGAGAGATTGAAGCGATGAAATTGATTCAACTGGGACGAGAAAGCAGAGTCTCGACCAACAATCAATTAGGTGCTATCTGCACACGGCTGGGAACTCGAGGGATGAAGTTCACTTTGCAAGCTCAGTGGCTGAACACTGTAACAAGCTAGTGAACTGTTAAGCATGGCGTTCGTACTGCTGTCTCGTCTTCTCGTGTTGTCTTTGCCACCCTGTAGCCATTCTCAGTCCAGAAGCATCGTTTTTTGGGGGGCGGGAGAAAAGGGGGGATGGCAATGTTGCAGAAACCAGACTTTCCGTTCATGAAGCATCGCACTCCTAGTCTCGGCCGGTCCAGATTTCATTAAGGGAGTCAAAGTTTCCACTATGGAGGTCCTGGGGTGAGTTCAGGTCTTTCCGTCGGGTTTATTTGCCATGTGCTGTCGGCAAGTTTGCTTTAGTCAGTCATAATGTGTGAGCCTCAGCCTTACCAAACCCTAGGCTATGATCTCGCTAGGTGAATGTTTGGTGGCACAAGCGAATTTGTAGCGCGTAAGATGCATCGACATCAGGGGATTTACGCTGGAGGAGGCGCATATCCCTGTTTTCCTCGACTTGGTGTTCCCCGTGTAGGACGTTGATATAGTGGGCAGCCGGTGAGGATGGAATTTTCGAAGTTGACCAGAATGTTGGCCTGGTGGAAATTACACAAGGCAGAGTTTCCCTTGGCGAGCATCCGGATTCGACGGAAGCTGTTGTCGCGAGGGTGGTCAAGGTGGTGAGGCTGAGAGATGTGCCTGGAATGCGTGGGAAAAGATAGTCGCAGAAGCTTTGCCAAGAACCTTGGCATATCCGAGACAGAAGGCGGTCTTGGCGGGGAAGTACCCCTATTCTATTTCTAGACACTATTGGTTCTTTGCACTTCATCCCCTCGTGTTCAATGCAGGAAACGACATGTTCCGAATATATCGGCCGTCTTCATGACCTGCCATCCCAAGATGCGCGCTTTGCAAAGCTCGTATTTCTGCGGTCCTTTGGTGAGACAATTTCCCATTCCGTCCAGGGACAGATTTGTGTATGGTCAAGGACTTTGCAGGACTCGACACTTCTCCTGGCGCTTTATATATAGACTGCGCACCCAGCGGACTCTTCTCTGTTGTTTTAAAGTCCTCAACCCATTATTCTAAACAAAGTCCCAAGTCGCTCATTGAACTCACATTAAATCATTCATTTCTGTCCAAATTGGCGCGAGCGCTTTCGCATTGAAATCCTTCTAGAACTTCTCCTTTGCTAATCAAGTCATCATGTCTTCCGACGAAGGGTACTCTGTGGTCCCCGTGCAGCGAATCTTCTTTCCCCTTAGGATCATACAGATGGTCTTCACCGTTGGTGTTTTTGGGATTGCATGCTACCATCTCTCGCTGTACTCGGGTTACGATGTAAGATACTCAGCCTCGAACAGTCCAAAACACACATCTGACTCATGGCAAGGCTGGCGCTCTTAGTCTCTTCACTTGCCTCGCGAGCATAATCTTTCTGATTTACTGGTTCGTGGCGAACAGCCCAACCAACTCCCACCTCTACAACTACTGGGCATTCTTCGCTGTGGAACTCTTCGTTCTCATCTTTTGGCTCTGCACCTTTGCCCTCGCCGCCGACAAGGTTGCAAAATACGTTCAGCTTTTAAGTTATGACACAAGCTACGATGGATACGACTATTCCAGCACCGATGATACCACTGGCGGGACCACTGGCGGTAACAGCTACTGCTATGATGGCGTCTGTGTCAGCTACAACAAGCGCGACCTTGCCAAGCGCGACACTGTGACTGATCCTTTCTCCGCGACCCTATACACTGCCCTTGCACTCTCGGTGATCAATTTGTGAGTACCCCGTCGCCAATGAACTCACGTGGTGGTGCCCTAACTGAATGCAGCATCTTGTTTGGTGTCACCTTCATCCTATACACCATCAACATGTTCCGGCATCGTGCTGCCCTGTCGAGTGCTAAAGGCAACAACATTGCCATGTACAACGGCCATGGGACGGCTAGCCGGATGGAGAAGGGGGTGGTGATGAACGGACACCAGTGAGTAATAGTGTTTGGACGCAGGAGTCAGTCTCGCGGTATGGTAACGGCATGGCCAATCCAACGCCCTGAAGGGCTTTGATTCGGTCGTCCATGGACTTCTGGAATGTGCTTGTTTACATGTTTATCAAGAAATATTTGTTGAGGAAACTTAGAGAAATGAGGGCAGAAGCAAAGGTTATGTAGTTGACGAAAGGGATCTATCGACGGCCATTATCTGAGCAAGTCAGGGAGTTTAAAGCGGCGTGGTTTGAATGCCAAGGCTGACATCGAGGCGGGAACCGGGCAGCAGGCACCCACCGAGCCACCAGTCGCTTATCGTTCAGATGTACTACTTTTTTACTCCGTACTCTCTTGCTCCTTTTGACTGGTCCTCGTGGACATGACTTTGATATGCAATAATGGGTGTTATACGGACTATAGGGGTCGTGGTGCTAAGTATATCATTTGTTGTCTTCGTCGCGCTCTTTGGTCGACTCCCCGTCTTTAGGTGAGTAACATCCACCTCTGAAGATCTTCCAGCCTCAGCTTCTCACAGGCTGATTGCTTTCAGGAGGACACCTATTGCCTTTCTCCACCGGCTTCTATGGAGGCACATCCCAAATGCCTTCATCAGCGTCGACGAGCATCTCACTGGCCGCCGTGTCACGCGTAGTCTCGCGAGGACGGGCAATTATCTCATGAACGAGAAACATCCTCTTATTCTTGTATGTCTGAGGACTGGGTCTTGAAGAAGAAATGGGGCATGTGCTCACATACCCGTCTAGATCTTCTTTGTCCTCTTGCAAGTTGCCGGCGAATTTCTGTTCATTCCAGCAGCATGGGATCGGCTTTCGATCAATCAAATAGCAGTGTTGCCACCCCTGATCATTGCTCCTTTGGCGTTTCTGTACCTTTGCAATACCACTTCCTCCAACATCACTTCTGAGAATCACCGGTCGGCGATGCTGGCCTATCCCTATGACTTTGCTCTCTTCCACCCGGGCTACTTCTGCTCCACATGTCGATTTGCAAAACCAGCCCGATCCAAGCACTGTTCCATATGTAAAGCCTGCATCCAAAAACAGGACCACCACTGCATCTGGGTCAACAACTGTGTGGGCAGGAACAACTATCTGTGGTTCAATCTCCTGCTAGTCAGCATAGCCGTACTGCTGTTCTATGGCTCTTATCTGGGTTACATCTTGCTCGACCAAAGACTGCAGGACCACCTGGTCCCGCGGGCACTGACGAGGGGCAGTTTTACGGCCAAGCGGTGGAGCACCCGGATGACATGGGGTGAGTATGCACACGCCTGGGCATGGGCCGTGGCCATGGAATGGCGCATCGGGGCGGTCATGATGTTGGCCATGATGTGCATCCCTCTGGCGCTGGGGTTTCTAGCCTACCACATCTATCTCATCTGGGCGGGCATGACCACCAACGAGAGCTCCAAGTGGAGTGATTGGAAAGAAGACATTGCGGACAGGGTAGTCTTCAGGGCGGAGATGGCTCAATTGAGGGAGACGTATCCACCCTTGCCCGAGGACGTCGAGCCTTTGGACAAGGACGTGAAATGGCCGGTTGGCGTGAGGGCGAAGTGGTGGCTCGTGAGGACGAGGGATGGGAAGCAGCCCATGACAAAGGTCTCCAGAAGGGCTGGAAAGCGAGAAGGAGAGGGAGAGGCGGATGGAGAGGTGCGGGACGATCGATGGGAGCGTGTCTCTTCCATCGCACAGATCGAGAACCTGTATGATCTGGGTTTCTGGGATAACCTCTGGGACGGACTCTTCAATCGCGGATGAGACTACATATTTTCAGCATCGGCAAAATGGGAGGCCTGTGCGTAGCGACCATCACTGGTACATGCCGATAGGTATTGTGCTACAAGATGAGCTGAGATACATATGGTATAGTTTCATTGAGGCACCACCCCTTCAGCTTTGTTCATCTCAGACACTGCCTGCTGACAATGTACTCCATCCACACACGTATACGTTGATATTGGTGCCATTGCTCAAGCAAACGACTTCGAAGTTTAACCCCACAAACTTGGCGATCTGACACGTAGAGGATTTGTACTGTGTTCGTCTTTGGTCACTTTCAACCTTTGCGATTCTGATGAGTCAATCAATTGTACGGACCCAGAAATCCTTTTTAAATGTCATTTTCTAAACAATTCTTTTACATGCACATCACTGCGTTCATGTGTGGCGACGCAGTCACGGCTCTGGTTGACCAACCTTCTGCCACCTAATTGATCGTGTGCTGCATCAAAATCATCTTCCCATGAAAGAAATTGGAATCGAATCAGAATGTCAATGATCCCACTGGGCCGCCCTGGCTCTAATACCATCATCACATCTCTGTGACTGACGCCGACCAATCCAGTCCTGTTCAAACACGCGAATCTCGTAAAAGCCCACAATCCGAAGCAACCCCATCGATAACGCTCATTATTACTCTCGTTTCTCACGCATACATACTCTTCGTCTTTCGATGCCTCTCTTCGCGCCCGACCGTCGGTTTCACGGGACTATTTGCCTGACTGCCAGCGTGGTATGTCTCCGTTCGCTGATGACCGACTTTGGGGCGTTGTACTGCGCCCGCTGTCTTCATCTTCTTCTCCCGTCTGAGGACCATTTCCGTCCAGCCTTTGATCGGGCCCAAGCCGCTCTGCACGCCTTTGCCCACGACCTGCGAGAGCGCTTGCATCCACTGCTCTTTCTCTGTGGTCGAATCGGCATAGAAGTCGATGACTTCTCCATTGGCGAAACGAATTCGGAAACCCTCTTCCACAAACATATAGCCTTCTTCCTCTTCAGCAAATCCACTCTTTCGGCGCCCTCCACCCTTTGTCGAAGTCTCCTTCTGCATGAGGGCGGTCTTGTCGTCGATGAGACGCGTAGCTTTCGCAAGGTTGATGGTTGCTCGCGGTTGAAGAGTTGTTTCGTGAAAGGCCGTTAGCTTGGTTCCGGCAAGCTTGAAAAATCGTCGTCGCCAGTACTGAATTCGTCAGCACAATTTCGTCTAAATTCATCCACTTGCATCCACTCACCGGACAATCTCCTCCCTGCTGGCTCAGATAGCCCTCAAATTCCTTGATATTTGCTTGTTGCACCAGGCGTTCTTCGGCTTCTCGCAGTGCGCGCACCGCACCATTCATACTCTTTGGCATATCATCGTCCTTTGCTCCTTTCGGTTTCGGCACATACAACAACTGCAGTTCCAATTTGCCAATCTCATATGGCGGACGACGTTGAAGTTGAGTCACGCTCTTCTTGCTTCTCGAGCTACCCACGCTGACCTCTTCCATTGCCCACTCGTTGAAGCAGGTGATGTCTACCGTATACGGCCGGCCATATGCTTGCTTTTCATGCTCGCTGAGCGAAACGTAGGCTCGAGCAAATGAACCGTCCTTTGCGACGAGACCTTGAACCAGTTCGTATGCTGAAGGTGGTGTCACTGGCCTTCTGACGACCTGGGCTTCTTGCTGGGCCCTGACTTCCGACTCTTTCTTCTTCTTGGGTGAACCGAACAACCTGCCGAAAGCTCCTTGCTTCTTAGGCGATGCAGGCGGCTTTGAAGGAGATTGTGGTCGTTCAACTTTTGGTTCTTCCAATTTCATCTGCAAAGTGAGTTGAAATTCGAGCTCATTGAGGACAATCAGCTCAAATTCCTGACCAATTGGTGCGCTTCGAGCAAAGTCGAGCCAGGCAGTCGTGACGCAGTGCATTCCGTTGTCCAGCGTCAGAGCAAAGTAAGTGCGTTCATCTGTCTGTGATCAGCCTGAGCTTACTGAAAGACCGCGAAATCCCTTACGTTGGGGAAATGGCATCTGCAAGTCCTTAACACCGACCACCTTGACAAAAAGTCGGCCACGTTCAGCACCATCCTCCCACTCCTCTTCTTCTCCAATCTCGTCTTCAGCAACAGCATCAAGGCCCTCTTGAGCGTTGCTTGCTTGTCCCGGTAGGGGCGGTACAGGACCCTCGACTGGCTTCCGTTTACTGAGAGCCTTCTCTCCACCAACTCGAATGCTCTTCCGCCTGATCTTACCATTCCATGGTTCCGCAGTCCAAGTGGGCTGACTCGTCTTGCGAGGTGAAGTATGGACTTGGTTGGCCTCCGTTGGAACACCGAGCAGACCGTCCTCAGTTGACGTCGGAGGCTCGGGGGATCTGCATTCATCCTGGGATACATATTCACTTGCAACGACAATTTTGGTGTTCTGTCGCATCAGGTAGCCTCTCTGTCGGTGGGCATCTCGATTAGCAAATGACTCTTCATCAGTAGACTTATCTGGAGAAACAGCAAGATGTGCTCCTGGCAAGGGACAGACCCCACGAGTTTTGCAGAGAGCTGGGACGTTTTCCATGGGATTACCTCCTTTCCACTCCTTCACTTCCGGGAGCTGACTGGAGGGAAATCGTCCGTTGAAAGGGTAATAAAGACGTTGCAATGAGAGTTCAAACTCTACCTTCTGGGCTTCCACCACACGATCAAATTCCTTCTCGAGGCCCAATCCAAGGCCATCGTCCAAGCCTGTATGTGGAATATCCAAACGGACTAGGCTGCTAACTCGCTTCTTCTCTCCTGCTTTGCTGTCGATCTCGGGTATCTTCTCATCACTTGCTTCTGCGTTAGTGGAATTATCCTTCGCTACCTTGGTGCTGACATCGAACTCGGCGGAGATGGGAGAGGAGGGGGAGGGTTCCTTCTCGTGAATCAAAACCGACCCGGTGTCGGAGGGACTAATCGAACGGTCACTTTCCACTTGCTCAGCCAGCACATCCTCTTTTACGTCACAGTCGACGTTCTTAGGAGGACTTGCACCTGAAACAGGATGTCTGACTACGGAATCAGGTGTGGCCGGCGTAGCTTGCTCTGGGATGAATGTCGATGTACTTTGAAATGGTTTTACCTGGACCTCTGGAGTGTATGGGCGTTGAATTGACTGACGAAGGGCAGCGAGGTCGGGTAGTGCACTGGGCGGCGCACCACCGTTGGCTGCTCTCATACTAT